GGGCACACAGGCTTTCAGTAGCACATTAGCAGGTTGGTCCTGAGAGAGGAGGGAGGTAATGACAAAATCAGCAGGATGGTGATGGAATGTTGTGTGTTGTGAGATCCTGGGGGAAAACTATTCCCCCTCTCTAACTTTCCCTAGAGGAGAGGAAACGTTCCAAAAGAATAGTGAACACTTCTGGTGTCTTTCCCTAATCATTTCCACTGGGACCACTTTACCAGTGGGTGGGAATTCCTTGCTTTCAAAACAAGATTCAGGCTCAACTCTAGCTTTTTTTCCCCTCTTGCCTCACCTGTCTCCTGAATCCCTAAAAAAGGCAATGGGCTTTTTTCTGCTTCCTACCACATTCTTGGATCAAGACCTTTTCAGTCTGCTTTTCAAAATGGCTCAGACACCATTTATTTTTTATTTTTTTATTTGTTATTTTTAGATATACATGACAGTGGAGTGTATTTTGATATATTACAACATACATTGAGTATAACTTATTCTAATTAAGATCCCATTCTTGTGGTTGTATATGTTGTGGAGTTTCTTTGGTCATGTCAGACCCCATTTATAAGACAGCCTTTAGTCTGACTAGGTATGTACAGTCAGATTTGCAGATATAACTTTCTCCAAAGGTAGGTCCTAAGGTATTTGTAAGGCAGAAAGGGTGTGCAAGATCAGAAACCATGGAACAAGAATGGGTTACCCAAAGAAGGTTTATTGGAGGGCGCTCCAACCGAGGTTCACTGGTCCATGAAAGGGTGAGGGGCAGGTTGGTCAGGGCTGATGTGAGTTGATGGGGTGTCTGCTTCAGCTGGTGGGAACCAGTGGTAGTTAGGTGTTGAGAGCCACAGCTGAAGGGGCCCCAGCAAACTTCCAGCTGATTGGCTCCTCTGCGGTGATGCTCATTGGGCTGTTTCCTGATCCTTTCAGACCACGGAACTGCTCATTGGGGGACTCTTTTGACTCTGCCCACATGACCCAGCCAATCGGCCTCAAAAGCAGGAGGAGTGGGGGATTGAGAGGCTTGCAGGAAGCCGGTAGTGACAGTTGGGCTCTGAGGGAATTCCTGAAGAGCTCATGTGGTGAGGCAGCATGTGTTCTAAAAATAAAGTTCGCTTCTGCTTGACAAGTGGCTAGCGAATTGTGCCCAGCCAGACTGCGGCAGTTGGGGTCCCTTGCCTGGTCAGCTTCTGATTGGCCATTTCCAGTCTCCTCAGCCAGGTGGAAAGTCCTCGCCCACAGCCACCATGAAAGGGGAGGGGGAAGGGAAGCCTGCTGACTTAACAGTATATATTTATAGGGAGGTTGGTCCTAATCTTCTTCTTGGTCTAATTTTAGTAGTGATTGATGCACTTTGTGGGATATTAAACACTTATCCTTGATAGTAAAGATGGTACATGAATGAGATACTCATTTGGTTTCTTACATTTGTTCTCAGTTGGTTAGAAGTTGAAGAGGAGAGGTGATTGGCATCTCATGGTCCTCAACACTATGACCCTTAAATATTCAGAAAAACTGCAAACATTGTGATATGTTTGGTATTTGGGTTTCCTTAAGAAGATGATAAGGGATAGATTTTGAGCCACGTGACCATGAGGGGAAGAACAGAAATGCGTGCGATCAACACAGGAGGCAACGACCTGGTCTCCTATCCAGGTGTCTAGTATATTCATGTTCAATAACCAGGAATTTTTCACTTCCATCACAGCCTATGAGCCCCAGTGACTTCAGGGCCTTAGAGGTGGAAAGTAGGTATTTTCTAACTCCATTGAAATTGCAGGGCTATTCTATCTTAGCTTACTTAATAACTTCACATTACAAGACATCATCTTTTCCTTTTCCTTACTGCAAACAGATCTTGGTATATAGTTCTGAAACTGATTTGGATTCATGTTCCTTAAATGACTTTTATGTTTCTAAATGTCTTATTTATTTATTTATTTATTTTGCAAATACTTCCATGCTTGCTTTGTCTTTGCCTTACTTCTCATTTCTAGTGAGAAGAAAAAAAATAGTCTTTTCTTTTATTAATCAATCCCACCTTGAGTTACTTGCAATATATATATATATATATATATATATATATATATATATGAGCAACAATTCTCAATTTGTGAAAACATACTGAGAATTATTTTTGTGTATATCAGAATTTAAAATAAGTGATAAAAATACAACTAAAATAAGGAATTAAGTTTCTGCAAAAATTATATCTACCTTAAGCCCTATTGTCAGAATTCAATGAGACAAAGTGAAGAATCTACATATTACACACATATTACATATTTCTTTATAGGCACAGAATATTGGGACTGGCAATACCAGTGGAGATTGGATATAAAACCTAATTTATCTTTTGTGCAGAATGATATCTAGATTGTCAAATTAGTTCCCAAGATTTTCTGACTCTTTCTGCCATTCACAGATTCAAAACATCTTGAGGAAATATGGACATTTAAAAAATCTGGATATTTGTTGATCCTCTTCGAATTTTTGGAAGAAGGCTTTCACTTTCAATTTGCTTGTTAATTCCCATGCAGCCAAAACCTTTGCTCTTTTCATAAAGAAGCTAAAAGGTAACTAAAAACAACTACAACAAAAAAGTGTAGAGTTGAAAAATTGCCTTTGAGCATCATACGTCAGAGAGTGCCTAGAATCCTTTGAGTAAATCATTACTAAGATTCTCTCCTCAGAGGTTGCATGATTTTGATAATGATGACTCAGGAGCCTCCAATCACTAATTCATCCATGATTAAATGTTGCTTGTGAAAAATGCTGGTGATTTTTTCCCCCCTTTGCTCTGCTCAATTGAATACTAACAGTATATTCCAGGAAAGTTATGTTCTGCTTAGGTGGCAACATTAGGAAAGGCGAAGAAGGATTTCCCTATGCCATGTTCAAAATGAATCTGATGGATCCTTATGGCTTGTTTATTTACCTGTTTTGCTAGTCCCATTATGCCAGGGATCATATATCACCTTATCATCAAAACAGATTCTAAAACAAGAAACCAAAGTAAAACCACACACTAGCTCAAAAATTTACATCCTTCAGAAAGCCTCCAATGAGTTGTCATGATTTAACTAATATTTCTGATCATTCAAATGAAATCTCAGAACACTAAATTCCATAAAAAAAATTTGAATAATTTTTGTTATTTATCTTTTAATATCTTTTGAGTTTGCCTGTTAGTTTCTTAAGATCTTGGCCTATAGCAGGCAGACCTGGATTTGAGTCTTGGCTGTGTTACTTTCCAACTGCATGATCTTGGGTTCATCTGTTTCATTTAAGGGATAAAATGGTACCCATCTCTTGGGATTTTTATGAAGGTTGAGATAAAAATATGGAAAGCACATAGAACAGTGTCTTGTATGTAGTAGCTGCTTTTCAAATGTTTGCAGTAATTATTATCTGCCTATTTTACTTTTCCATTGGGGCAGGAAGGTGTATTGGGAAGAGTGGGGGGTGAATGATTCTGGAGTGAGTCAGTTCTAGGGTTCAGTTCTGAATTAGCCAATTACTCTGTGTGGCTTCTTAAGAATTTCAATTAACTCATTGAGCCACTACTTCTTTATTTCTAAAATGAATATACAGTAATTATATGCAGATCACCGGGTTGGTGGAAGCAAAGTGCCTATTATGCTCCCTTCCTATCAACTGATTATCAACAAGTTCACATTTATGAAGTCTATTCCAAGGACAATGGGCAGCAAAGGTGTCACAAGAAGTTTCAAAAGAAAATAAACGCGTTCTCCACCACTGGCAGGGAGAGCAACTAATGAAATCTAGCCAACCACGCACAGTGAATTGCTGATGATACATGCTAATTAAAGTGGCTCTCTCATCCATGTCCATTTATATTTTTCCCACTGTGGATGTGGAGGAATTTTCAATGAGAGCCTCTTTTCTGGTATTTTTACAAGTCAGCAGATCTCCAAAGCCCAACTGAAATATAAGCTGATGAACGACCCCAGAAAAACTGGAACAGTCACAACTGCTCAGTGGCCAGTGCCACAGAAACTAGGATAAAGCAACCTCTTCCTTCTAAACAAGGGCAGATATCTGGGACTCCCTGGGAGAAGTGAGGCGGGAGGGCGAAATGCGGGTCAGAAGCGGTTGCTGAAGGGCCCCTTCCCAGCACCAAAGCGGCCTGACTATCACCGTCTTGGTCCGGGGCCATGGGGCCAAGGAGGTATCGCAGCCACCAGGAGGACGCCAGTCTTCACAGAGTTAAACCTCTCGCAAGGAGACTGGAGGAGGAGGCTCCCCGCCCAC